ACAAGCTCTACTAGTTTCGGGTCTCAGAGCCTACTCAGACTGAGCGACATCACCGCGAACGCGCACGCTGCTCATAAGGAAGAGTCCCTTTATGACTCGAAACTAGTAGAGCTAGTAGTAAAGTAGTTTAGTTAATTCAGTAAGTATGTCTCACGTTAGTTATAATAAAAACACATTTTACTGATTTTAAACTTTCCGCAGTGGCTATCTTTCAGATTAGATAATGTACACGTTTCTGAATTATGAAGTCACTATTAATATTGTTGACGATATCTGTGATAAAATATCGTATTTATGTTTTTAAATATACATCTTGAAGAAAACGATTATGTTTTTCCCATAAATACCTAATTAATCAATGATTGTAAGATAATTAATGGTGCAAAGTAAGTGTAACTTGTTGTGTCTTGATCGTTTAAAGCTAGCGATAGTTAAACGTACGTAACGTTACTCTGGGACTCAAATTCAAGCACTTGACCGAAGTGTTTATTTTTACTGACCTCGAAATTCGTCCCAAAACACCGCGCTGGACTTGCAATTACACTCAACCAAATAGACGGTCCATCTAAGAACCTTATTATATCTCTCTTTTTCTTTTTTTTAACGTTGCCCTACACTGGGATTTTACGGAGCCGCGGCGAACTTAACGGGTTACCCCGGTAACCCGTTAAGTTCGCCGCTAAGAGCCCCGGCTCTGGTTCAAAGTGCATGAGAAGGAACGGGGTGGTTTTTAGTCAGTAAGAGTCTAACAATCCCTGATGATTTTCCACCCTTAAAAAAAAACACTAGGATTTTCGCCTGCGTCGTGGGTGCTTTTACAAATATAAGGAAAATAGAATTCGAGCTGATGATTTAGGGTCAGTTCACATATGAATGACACCCAGATTCGAAACAAGAATTTGTAGATCATACAAAGAGTTGCTCCGTGCGCGAATCAAACCCGCTACACGTCACGCGGCTGCCAATGCGCCAACCGTATAGTTGACTCGATCTTAACACCTTAATACTAGAAGTTATAATTAGAATTTAACCAAACCAAAAATTCGTGATACTTCACAATAAAGCTAGTTTGTTAGTTTATTTCAGTTTTCAACTCTGACATTCCAGATTCTAGACTTAAAACTATTTAGGTCACATTCGCATGCCTATGCCGTGTTTAGTCGAGCGGATTTTAATTAAAAGTCTGGATCGGTATTCTGTTTATAGTGAGAAATGCTTTCTATATTAATAGGTCTTTTTTATATGTTAATTAATATTGACAATGAAGAATCAATAAATGTATGTCTTCGTAGACTATCCTATTCACTCGCTGGACTAGCAGTTAGGTAAATGGTATGATGAGCTGGGCAGATAAATAAAGAAATGTGTATTCGAAAATCCACCTTTAAGTCATCTCATAAAGTTTAGTCTTGTATGAGCAGGCTCCTTATTAAATACTCCATGTTCTGTTAATCTATAAAGATGTTCACAGCCAACCAATACGAATTCCTGAATGCGCTGCAATGTAGTCGGGAACAATTAAGTTCCATTGGTTATGTGATGGAATTAATATAACCCCCTTCTGCGGTACCACAGATGACAAATTCCATGTCCTAATTTACTAAGATTACACTTAAAGCCAGCTTTAGTATACCATCGCATTTTAAACGAAATCTTCGTAATCCTTATTTTGACACTTCAGAATAACCCGTAATCGCCCTTCGAACAAACATCAGAACATGTCAAGGGCGTTAACAGGATTACCAAAAACGACCCCACTGCATGTAACACGCGTCTTAATTACTATTTAACACGAAAAACAAAGTTAATCAACACGCGATTTTAACGAAAATAGCCCTTCTATCAAGGTGTGAAAGTGCATGTAGACAGCGCGTTAGTTAATGTGAGTTGTGTAGCGTTTGATTGTTTAATGGTTGGAATAGTTATTCTTGGTGATATAGTAATCCATCATGGTTTCTTGGAATGGGAATGAGTAATGTAATGTTTCGATACTGAAGTGAAGGTAGACCTAGTTCTGTCAATAAGAACTAAGTGTATTAGATACATTGTTGTCAATGTAATTTGTAGTAACAGTAGCTTAAATGTACCTCTTAACAGCAATGCTATCGAGCTTTCATTACCATAATTGTTAAATGTGGGAGAGCCATGCTTCGGCACGAAAGGGTCGGCTCAACAGGAGTATACCACGGCCCCTCAGACAACCGACGTGAAGTTGAGGTTACCGGAGGCCCAATTACCCCAATCCCCAATCTCCCCAATTTCCGCATCCCTAACAATACTCAAATTTCTAATCCCCAAAAGGCTATTAACGCCTCTGGTGTTTCGGGTGTCCTAGCGCCGATTGCTTACCTGGTGATCCGTATGCTCGTTTACCAATTTATTCCATAAACAAAATTTAAATCTGAGGAATATGAATATTAAGCTCTCAAATACGGATCAAAAATCAAGCGGAAGACAAAACCAAATCCAATACAATCAGATTTGTAACCACACAACATAAATAACACGTAATAGGAAAACCACAACACTAAAGTGTGGCCCAACATTATTGGCCTACACTGTACCTAATGGAATGACGTTCCCGTTTTGTCGCAAGTCCAAACGACGGAAGTGGGTCAATATTGCGCGACCACAGTGTACCCGTTTGACATTACTTTAACACTATTTCATTCTTTGCGGTGCTTTGGTACCGTATAGACTTATTTGGATCTATGTGGGTCATCTGGGCGATGCTATTGGAACCTAGGACGTGTTAGTTAAAATTGGTAGGCTTATGGAGCTTGATGCAGTGTCTATTTTTGGTTTGGAGTACTGCAGTCTTCGTAATAAGTTTTAAATGGTTGATGATGGTCGAAACTAATTTGAATCATATTATCTACATTTTAAAGAGATTTTTCGTCGTGAGATAGTGTTGTTTTTTCGCATTTATGCAAATCCTTATTCATAACAGCCAATGACTGCCTCGTTGGTCGAGTGGTCGTAAGTGCGACTGCCGGGCAAGGGGTTTTTAAATAGGGCTCGGGTTCGATTCCGGGGTCGGGAAAAGTATTACTGGGTTTTTATATATTCTCAGTAGTAGCACGGAGTCTGGAATTTTGCCCGGTATATGGCAATAGGCTCACCCTCTATTACGTGGGACTCATAACATAAATAGTGAAAAGTGGGTGTTACATTGTACAGTGGTATAATGAGCACCTCTGCATACCCCTTCGGGGATAAAAGGCGTGATGTTATGTCTTATTCAACAGTTTAGCTAAACGTTTTTGTGAGTTTGGTACCTAGTTCGTGTTAACAGTGATAGGCAACTTCACACAATGCACTCATAACGAGACCATCTGGCCATGGCTATTAGGTTCACGACGCTTACAAAAAAGTGTCTAGCCAATTAATTGGGCGCCTAAGTATTGTCAAACACATCAAACCGTGGATTCGTCTATCAATTTTTGTCCAAGACAAACTGAACATGTGTTCCCGTTTGAGAAACTATTTCCAATATCAATAGTTTCAAAGTTTGGGCACTAAGTGAACCGACGGATTAAATATCGGAGTTGGACGGAAGCCCAGACACATTCAAAGTAGATTATCGACATCACATACCGATCAGTCGTGACGAAAAATCGGAAAGAATGAGCTAATATTGTAATAGTCTGGTGGCTAGGAAATCCATGATATCATCTAGACACCTATTTATAATCACCTTTATATTTTAATCATCGTGACGGGACATCCAGCCCACGTTCGCGGCTTCCGTCGTGGTTTACTGACCTTATGACGTCATTAGCCACCACCAGCACCATTGTTTAACACACAATGGCCTTATATCCACTAATTTGTCAATGGTGAAATTTTTTTGGTACTAATTACGCAATTTCTCGGTTCGTGATCTTGTCAGCGGATTGGGAGATTGTTCCAGAAAGTGATTAGGTCTTTTTCGACCTAGATTGCAAAAATGGATGGAGTTTAAGGAAAAGTTTATGTGTGGCGTTGGTCTGTTGGTCATTTGTCTTTGTTTCTTGGTGGTGGACGTCTTTGGTGATGGTTTTTACTGTGCATCTTTATACTATATATATAACTTTAACACTTCTCTTAAATATAACACAATACATACTTACTGACTCCTGTTATAATAGGCCAAATGTCTTTCTATGTAGGTCATTCGCATAGAACTAATACCCCACAAACAATATCAGCTAATCATTTGAAGACAATAATCCGAGCAATAAAAGTAAATAAAACAATAAATGCGATAATATTAAAAATAATATCTAGCTACTTATTTTTATAATAAAAAAAATAACTTGTCTAATATTTTTTCATTACCTAACTGACGGACTAATTAGATTTTTAATTTTCATACCCTGTCATCATCTCTATTGTACATAATGTATCGCCTCGCCTAGCATGTATAATCGTTTGTGTAGAGTAAGTCAACGCTATGTAAATGGTCCAGTATGTAACATAACAGCTTGTATGTAAATGTGTAACTACCTATGCTATGTTGACTCGCTGTAACATATCGCTTTGGATACGCGTAAACTGGTAGGGGTCATGTATTCAGAAAATTTTGATTTTTTGTGTAAGTGCCTTGACCTCTTTATATTTCGAAGATTTTGTCTAAAATAAGTACCTAGTATTTGTATATTTTATTTATTAGTTGTTGTTTTAGTCCTTATTTGTGATATAAAATATTTTATGATCTGCATAATTATAATGTTAAACTATAAAAAAAAGAAGAGGTTCTATAGTCGGATGATTGTTTTTTTTATGTTATCTGTGTAATGATCACTTATAATATAATACACAAAACAATTAAGCTCAGAAAATTGTTAATTCAATTTTTAAATATTGTATTACACTGTAGTTCAAAAAATACTTCACAATAACAAAATTTTAAACTCAAAATTAACAGCAGCTAGTTGCATCTGTTATGCGAAATTAACCCTAACTGCTTCAATTTTATATGGCAACTGTAACTAATATTGTTTGTACAATGTTTTCAGGGCGGCATCAACAACAAATGTGATGTTCGCGTCTGCGCCGCTCACGAGACGCGCTTCCGCGTTGCAATTAGATACTTCAGACACTGACAATAAAGGTAATTTTAGTAAAACTATCAGTCCGTTAAGCCAAATTATTTAATATGCAGGTAAGAAAATAAGCATTGATTCAGTACAGAGACAGTAGTATGTTTTTTGTAGAAGATAAATCTTTGGTAAGCAACGGTCAGCTCAGAAACCCACCAATAGTTACTGTTTCTACCGCATCAATCTTTATTATCTTAACCATATAACTTTGTTGACTACTACATTCATAAAGTCATGCCTAACTTGTTGAGCTAATAATAAAATGACATGGCGACGTCTAGACATCTTCTCTTTCATTTTCAACTTCTTGCATTCTTTTCGAATTAGAGCACTTTGCTACTTTAATGGGTCGATTGGAAAATCAAAGTAAATATAGTTTAAAGAAGGGTTTTTCAGTAACTTTTTGTCTATCTATAACTTTTCATTTACTATACTTTCTAACATCCTCTTTCTCCATTCATGCTGCTATAAAGGAGCTGTGATGTTCATGAGTTTCTGTAAGTATTTTCATCTTTCATTTCTTACTCATACTTATAACTCATCTAAAACGGGCAAGACTTTAATCAATTAGCACTTGACAGCTAAGCTGATTGCCCCAGTATGACCATATGCGTCCCTAGCGTTAGTAGCGCGCGTAGCGTAGATAAAAAATTGTCAAAACTGATGTGAATAACTATTTTTCATTGAAAAATTATATCTCAACCTTGTACAGTTACAAAGATGGGTATATCATAATAATATCAAAGTAACCTTAAAGCCTCATTTAAGACTAATTTTCCTTGCATCATCATTACACTTACGGCCAAAATAATCGTCCCCCATAATAATTACCTTATACACAACTGATGTCGGAATACTCAAACGCTACTCAATTTTAAGTCGCGCTTAAGTATAGTTCTGTCTCCACAAATTCTTTGTAATTGACAGAGATGGCACGATATTTAAGCACGACTTAAAATTGAGTAATGTTTCAGTATTCCGGCATGAGTCATATGTAATTCGCTTCGCTATTGTATTGAGATCGGGTACGTCGTGACCTTGCACAAAGATTAAGGAAAGATTATGCTAATTCGCTGTGTAAGCCTCGTCCAGGTGTAATACTTTGATCTCATGTACGTGTGTTGTGAGAAAGTGTTTTTTGCACCGGTAGAGGCGCTAATGTCGCGTAAAGCTGATCCAATATAATATTTACTATTGGCAAAGTAATAGTCGAATAGATGTAACGAACTAAACTGATTGGGCTAATATCTTAAACCTTACTAGCACCAATATCTCAGGTTACTGTCTATTGTTGAATTTACCTCTAAATGACAGTTTTTATATCAATAGAAGATATATTATGCCATGAAAGTCTGACTTAAGGGTTGACTCAGATACAGGTCACATACAAAAGTTATGTCTAAGATTTTTTTTTAATAACACCATCGTTTATAAAATAACTAATTATTGACAAAATGCTAATAATTAACACAATATCTAAAGATGTTTCTCTACAAAGACACATTGATAATTTCCAGATGAGCCCGAGCGCAGTCCAGCGCCAGTGATGTGGTCGTCGGTGGCGCGGCGGCGCACGGACCTGGTGCCGACGGTGCCCGCGCCGCGAGCGCCAGGTAGGGCCTACTCGATGACGCGGCTCGACCGACTCCCCTCCAGCCGACCGCTGCACTCCGCCTCGCCATCCATGCATCACCTCAACAGGGCTCGTAAGACCTTCAAAATCGCGTATCCAGCTTGGTTTCTGCGTTTTAAGTCTGGGTGCTTCGCTTCTCAAGGGTAGGGTGTGATATCGCTTCGCTGAGGTGTTCTGGCGTTCTAAACTTCTGTTTGTGGGATACGCTTGGCTCCTTTTTGGGTGCTTTTTATATAAAGGGTAGGCGAAAATATGAATTCGCGTGCGTATCACTCAAAAAAATTGGCCATTGAATATGCACACCTTGAGGTTTGAAGTCAAAATCGAAATTTTTCCCTAACTAATCTCCCTTAAACTAATTAGTTCACACAGATATGAATTTAATGCTTTACCTACCCCATGGGTATAGATAGAAATAAATGAGCAATAAAAATAATTTCAATGAGGTGCTTCGCTTTGCGTTCCGTGCCTCCGTGTGCCAAGACAAGCTAATTTATGAATGTATGTGGCTAACTATAATGCCTACAATATGCTTTGCTCTAAAGAGTGGTGTTTCAAATGTATTTCTTGAGAATTACGATGATTTTAGCTGGTTTTCAGAGTGTGTAGTTGCTACAAATAAGCTTAGAATTAGACCAAAAAGTGGTCTGTTTGTGTGAATTTATTATTAGATTAATTTCTTCTAAAATAAGTAGCGAATTAGATCAAAAATAGTTCCAAAATTGTAACTTTTTTTTTTCTCGTCTGGCAATTCTATCGCGTGCGTTTGTGAGTGTTGCCAAGCGTTGACTTTTCTGTCAAATTCGAAGTTTTTTGTGTCTTTGCTTTTGGGTTCACGCTAAGTAAATAAAATGGTAACTGCAGGGTGGTCGCTAAACACGCAATTAATGGCTTAATTATAATTGTTTTATTATTGGAAAAAATCGTCACTAATTTTGTTTAATTAAGTTATTGTTGGGTAAATTGTCACTAACATTTTGGATATTTCAAGTATAAATATTGTTTATAACATTTTGGTATGTGTAGGAATGTGGTAGAAGAAGGGATATGAAAGATCTGTGTATAAGATTTATTTTGCAGTGAAATGTTTTATTACTAGAACGATAGCACCGGCTTTTTGGCTGACAACGTTATTCGATAAATTATGTCCTACAAATTGGCTTAATTTTAATAATTTGGTATATTTGTGAATACACTTTCCTGGGGCACTTATTTTTAGTATCTTCTATATTTTCCAAAATTATCGGGTCCTGTTATCCATTGTCAAAATTCACCTCTATTCTAAATTCATCGTTTCGCACTGGGTTGCTTGGTTTGGGTATCATTTCTCTTCCATTTTGGTCTTTATTCCATACAGCGTTAGGGTTACTTTTGAAAACAACGGGCTAAAAGGTATTTATCGCTACCTTCCTACAGAATAGTTCTTGTATGTACTGGTTTATGAGAATTAATAATAATTACTTTTTTTAAATTACGCTTTGAACTAAGATCTGCGTACGCGCACGCTTCACTGTGACTTAGAGAAATCTTTCTGTTATAACCAGTGATCGGAAAAAGGTGAGCTAATTTAATGAGCGGTTTCTTTCTAGCTTTTGTTGCAAATTTTGTCACGATTTTAGGATTTTGTTAATTTTGGTGTTGAATAATTTTATTTTATGCTCTTTCTTACATCTTAAAATATTTATTGTTGAAAACAATAAAAGTTTTAATTTTGTTTGGTTTTGTGTTAAATTTAAGAAATAAAATCACGAAACGAAATCATTTGGTTTCTGTATTAATAACAATGATATTAAATGTAATATATAAATATCCCGAAACTGGAACCGGAACTTTCTCGAAAAAAATGTTGTAGTAAACAAGTCTCCACTTTTTGTTTTTGTTCCTTGAAGTTTTGGTAAATTACCTCACCTTTTTCCGATCACTGGTTATAACTTATGTCATACCATAATGTGTGAAATAACAACTATCAATTACCATTGGTATGTTATCAGGCTATTTCTAGCATTTTTCACTCTGTGTTTTGTTTTGCAAGGGTTGTAAACGGGCACCCCTTTGAGCATAATTTTATAAAAAAAAACCAAAGCACACACGGTCACTTATTTTTTTATACATATTATCAATAATGTAGTACCAGACGAATGGCAGGGCGCCACCCTTATGTGGTGGACATTCCACCCATTCGCACAAAGCGTTTCGCGTCAAGCTTCCTTGTGCAAACAGCTCAGGAATGGAACTCCTTGCCGGAATCTGTGTTTCCCGACAAATGTAACTTGGATGTCTTCAAGTCCCGAGTGAACAGGTTGGTCATAGGTAGGCGTGCTCCATCGTCGGCCACATCATCGCTTACCACCAGGCGAGATGGTGGCCAAATGTGGACTTGATAGGTCGATGTATAAAAAATACACTCATAAGCCATTGCATACAAGATCTATACAAAGTCTTGGTCTAGTATCTCCACGGTGGTGTTACCAGCTTCTAAAAAGGTGAGTGTCACTAATCGCTTTGCTTTCTAATTGGATGTGTACAAGCACTTCCCTTCATCATGCACATGATGCACACAAAATGTACACGAAATTGAAAAAAAAATTGCATGATTTTAAAAAAGAAAATTTCAAATTTTGCTATGAAAATATTTGTAAAATACAAGATTAATTGGTTGAAATGTATAGTGTTGCAAAAGTTTATAAAGGGTGGTTTATATATAATTTAAAATTTCATTAATATGTACATGAAAAAGTGACATCAAAATTAATAACAACTGTTCTATGTCTCATCATCATTCATTCTATATTGTCATTTTCACACTACATTCACATTTCATTGTATTATGTATACTGTTAAACTACATAACAAGACATTGATTAACACTATTGCCTATATATTTTTTCTCATAGTAGGCCATGTCTAGAACCTTCTAAAATGTCATTTTTATCTCCCTTCCTCTCTTTCCTTGTGTGGGAGATTTCAAGGTACAATAAGTACATTATGTTGTGAAGTTAACTTCTACTTGATACAAGGTCCATTCTTCTATTCTCATTTTGCACCTCTCTCTGTGTTGGTTTCTTAATATTTCAAACTTCTTGCCATGTCTTCCCAGTTTATAGACACTATGAAATACGAGTGTGGAACGTAATACAGAATCACGTTTGTACGACACTACTGGATGCAGAAAGCATGGCTCATAGAAATTTCTATTCTCAGAAAGCACGTTTCGCCGAAAACTTCATTGGTAGAAAATATTGTTCGTAGATAACTCGTTCCATAGAAAGCACTAGCCATAGAAATCGCTATTCCTAGACAGCTCGTTTTGCCGAAAACTTTGTTGGTAGAAAATACTATTCGTAGATATCTCGT